CCCCCATGTTTCCCACTTTCTTTGTTGCAGAAAAAGGTAAAATTGAAGATAAGCAGACCACCTGGCACTAAAAACTGTTGCAAACGAGATCTAGTTAGATCTTTTGCCTAGCTTTCCATCTAGATCTATCTATTATTTTTGTGACTTTTTTGTACAACCAGTTTTTGTACAATTTATCGTTATGTGTAACCGGGCCTTTATCCAATCTATCGTCCAGTTTCATTTCGATCGAGAAGATTCCTCGTCTTTAACCCACCATGTCTCTTTGCGACGACAGCGATTTGCCTGTAGATAAATATCTACTCTACTCTATACAGTGGAACTCGGATTCAACGAGGTCGTTGGGCCTGACCTAAAATCTCGTTGAATCTGAGTGTTCGTTATAGCAAACACGAGGTTTTATGTAGATAATTACATGCACTGATCAAGTAATGTATAAAGAGAAGTCACAAGTAGTGCCTGAAATGCCTGCATATTATGAGCTGTGTAAAAAAAAGACTGATTCGTTCAAATACACAAGCCTGTGTCATCTCGTTGTTTACCAAGAAAAAGCTGTGTTGCAGTGTAGAGCCGAGCATACGGCAACTTTTGATTCCATAGACCAGCGTACAATTCATTACGTAGATCTACGTAAAGACTAGCTTATTATTGTAATAATGATCAGTTGCCGGGGGGAAAAAGACACGCGTATGCGACGTTCAACGCCCGGACCGCTAGTGCCCCCCCTCCCCCAGACGCACACACAGCCACACGTGTGCAGGCCGCCCATCCGACCCCGACACCCGCTAACGAGCCATCTTTAATTGCTTCTGATGACCTCTTGACAAATAAACATTTATTAGAAGCGCTATAACTTTTCAGGCCGGCCTCAAATTCATCATAAGATAAAATCTCGGCTCCTGCACAAAACGCCATTTTGCTCGAAGTGATCCCGGTCTCTACCCAGCCTGAGGCGAGTCACGAGTGAGGCAGGACAGGAAGCTGGAGTCACGAGTCACAGGAAGTCGGAAGTCGGAAGTGATGTCACAAGAATCAGAGTCCGAATAACATTTTTTCATATTCGGACTCGAGTCCGAATAGTCACTTCGTAAAAGTAAACTTGGGACCTCCATACTCCCTAACTTCAGCTAGTGAGCGGATCGGGGTCACTATAGGGGTCACAGCGGAGTAAGTGCTATAATGTTTTACAGAAGCTGGAAACAGCCGACAGTGAAAACAAATTGCGAAACTTTATAAGTTTAAAGCCCCCTTCAACACCATAAGGCATTCTAAGAGGCAAGACCTCCAAAAATAACGTCTATATCCGATAGGACCAAGACAATGACTGGGTACACTTTAAAAACTTCCAAAAATTAACCCAAATTCAGATCACCCCGACGGGGATTCGAACTGGGCCAATTGGGTCAACGGTGGGCCATAGCCAGCTGGCTGTGATCGTCGACGTGCGCAAAGACAAGGTGCAAAAAGGGGTGGGAGGTATATTTTCTTAGGGTTATAGGCAGATCAGGCAACGTCAGACAGGGTGATGAATCTAATGAATCATCTAGGTGTTATTATTCATTGACTGGGTTTGGGAAAGGGGGGGGGGGGGGGGGGGTTGTATTTATTTTCTCCCTCATGCAGAACGTTTCCGTTCACCCAACTGCGACTGAATACTTGACGATCTCCAGAGACGAAAAATGTGAATAGTACTTGCGATATTTTTTTAACAGACATCAATCTTGTAAGTCACTCGGAAACCCATATGATGATTGGGAAAAAAAGGCCGGCAAGGAGAATCATTGTGAAGTCATGTGAGCCGTTAGGTATATACATGACAACTTAAATGCACCTCCACTCTAAGTTTTATCTCTTTATCTCTGAGGGGGATACATTCACTGTCCCGGGACACTATATATTCTGGTACGAAATCTAAAAGGTGACATATACATAACTAAACTGGTCAGATCATGATGGAGAAAAATAGACACTTTCATGGATTTTGATAACATCGTTAGCCTTAATTTTGCCCCCTTTCAAACAAACAAACAAATAAACAAAAAGCCCACAAAAAGAGAAAAACGACCCCCCTAAAAATACCAAAAACAACAACAACAACAACAACAACAACAACAAAACAAAAAAGAAAAAAAGAAACCCACAATGCAATTGTTTGTGTGTCAGGTACGTGGACTACGCCAACCTGATGACGTATGACTACCACGGGCACAACAGTCAGGTGGCTGCCTTCAACAGTCCGCTCTACTCGCGGAAAGACCCGACATTCAACCCTACACTCAGCACGGTAAAACACTCTTCTCTTCACACTACCTTTCTCTCTTATCTGCTCATCATCTTGTCAATATTCAACAGCAATCTTCTTCCTTTTAGTTTTAGTTGAGTTTTTAGGACGCTCACAACTGCATCAATCTTCTTCGACACAACTTCCGACTTCGCCGAGAAGCCATTCCTTTTAGATGTACGGCTAAAGTGTTGTGGAACTTCGAGAACTAGCCATGATATCGTACTATGTTTTGTGTGTGTGTGTGTGTGTGTGTGTGTGTGTGTGTGTGTGTGTGTGTGTGTGTGTGTGTGTGTGTGTGTGTGTGTGTGTGTGTGTGTGTGTGTATATGTATGTATGCATGTATGAGTGTGTGTTTGGGGGGGAGGGGTATTTTGTTCTTGGGGGGGGGGGGGGGGGGTGCTCCTTTTTATGGTACACGCTCTTTTGTTTAGTCGTATTGTGGTTTTGAGATTTTGTTATTTTGTGATGGAGGGTGTGGGGATTGGGTTTGGGGATGGGGGTCTGGTTTTGTCTAACGGAGCCAAGCAATGTTATTAAATAATGTGGTAGGCAGCATGTTTTAGTTTTTGATAACATTTAGCGACCCAATGGAGGAGTTGAAGGTCAGTTCCCAGGAGGAGAATTCGTTACTGAGAAGGACACCCGGCGATTAGTGTGCTATAAATCTGAAACAACGGAAAAGACTTTGATCCTTATTCAATTATTTAAATTAAAATCTCGAACTTTAAAAGTGTAATGACTAAATTCATAGCAAACAGCTTATAGTCTAGATAAATATTCTGGACTTTCTAATGTTTGCTTTTCAGATGTCATATAATATTTTATTGCAATATTCACTTTTTTCCCCATTGTCTTTGGGGAAGATGTATCCTTTTCAGAAAGGGTTAGATATGACAGGCAGGATCAAAGTAGCCGGCTCCTAAATGATCCAAACTGTGTCGATGGAGGCCTAACATGTTTACTAAGAACTACAATTTCACATAGAGTCGCTTTTAAGGACACGCGGGCTAACCCAGGTTTCAAGGGTTTCCAGATATCTTGACCTACACCAAAAGTGGGCATTGCCCTACCTATAGAAAAAGTTTGGTTTCATTGGTGTGAATATTTGTTTGGTTATAGAGAAAACTCTCCAAGTCTTTTTAAAGAAAAGGAACAAGGGGCAAAAACTTTAACTTCGATTTTCTCGAAACAGCATTTTTCGAGATAGCCCCCTTAAAAGCGACCGTATTATATGGTCGAAATTTCCCAAGACAGCCACCCATTGTCGAGAAGAAAATGGTTGTTCTGGACAGGTGGACGTCTTGGACAGTGTCATTGTAATTTTGATTATAATTAAGGCAAAAGGCGGGGGCGGGGGAGAGTGGGAGGTGATAGTTTGTACAGGTAACTATCTTGTACAGGAGGACGTTAGAGCAGGTCCAACTCTATTTAAAGTGTTTTTTCTTTTTTTTTCTTACGCAGAACTGGACTGTCCACTACTATAACCGTCTCGGACTGCCACTGAGCAAGATACTGGTGGGTGTGACCCCCATGGGCCGACAGTTTATCTTGGTGAACACAAACGACACGTTTGTCGGTGCACCAGTGACGTTCGAGGAGGAGCCGGGGAACTTCTACGACATGGAAGGAAGACTGGCCTATCCCGAGGTGATTTGTTTGTTCGGGTTTTTGTAGAAGCCAATAACATTTTTAAAAACTAGTATAAACAACAACAACAACAACAACAACACTAATCATCACCATCTATTTTCAAACAATTTTCCTTTGTTTTTCGTCCCCCCCCCCACCCTTTCTGTTCCCCTTTTCTCCCTGAAGCATAAAGGTACCGTCTTGTTGACGCCCACAACAACAACAGCAGCAACAACAACAACAACAACAACAACAACAATAACAATAACAACAATAACAGCAAGATCAATAATACCAAAAGCAAATGGGAGCCGTCGGAATAATTCAATCTCTTCATTTTTAGCTTACACCCACTCTCCCGAAAAAAAAAAAAGAAAATAAAAGTAAAAAGAAGACAAAGGTATAGTCAGCAACAGTCCTGTATCGCTTAAATAATATCATTATCTCTCCTTTTCCCCCCTTGGTTTAGGTCTGTCAGATGCGCTTCGGCGTGAGGACAAAGAAGGACTTCGACATAGAACAGAGCGTTCCCTTTATGTGGCATGGTCACCACTGGGTGGGCTATGAGGACACACACAGTGCCAAGATTAAGGTAAGTGGTGTGGTTTTTTGTTCCTTTCCCGTTTGAGTGCCGGACATTCATAAGGTTACGTAGAATATATATTTATAAATGGATACATAAAATAAATAAATAAATA